TCGAGCCTTGCACCACCCTACATCTGGCAGACAAAAATTGTGCTCGTCAATAGGCAGTGACCGGGCATACGTAGTACGTGCCCAAGCCAAAGTAAATTATTCAGTGCTATCTGTTGTTCTAACGAAATAACCGAGTTAACAATGCCTAGTACTTGTTTCCCACATCATCGTTGCGGACACGTTAGTGCTACCCGACACCAGCAATGCTTCACAGACAACGATAGGAAAAGACTTGAAGGCGCCTTAAGTCCTCAGATTGAAGGGGCCAAGTCTCGATTATATACAGTAGTACAGACCTCACTATGGCCTTATATACAGGGCCTTTCAGACGGATGGAAAGTCCTATATGACGCCAAGGATGTGGCAGATTCAAGGAAGCAGTTCGAGTTTTTGCAATGCGTGAACTGATTTCAGTTTCTAAGCGTCCATCGCTGATGATGCAGTTGCCAAGGTAGGTGAAGTGATCAACTACCTCGAGTTCCTCGCGATTGTGAGTCAAGGAGGCATCGAGTGGCTGGTGGTCCAGTAACAGCACGTTGCACTTTGAAGGTGCACACCAAATAATGGGACCACTCTAGACAGGCTATTCAGTTGATTGTGCCGCACCAACATCGTCAAAAAGAAAAATGATATCGACCGCATAATCAAGATCAACCAGATTTGCACCAGCCAGCACAACGCCTGAACGTGAGGCTCCGCAAGGGAACAGTCCATGATGGAGCCCACGATGAAGTTGAACAAAAATGGGAAATTAGACAACCCTGACGAATGCCACTTGTTGTCGGAAAGGCATTTGACAAATCATCGTAGACCCTGAAGCGGTCTGTCCTGTTTCAATACAGAGCAAGCAAAATGTTTACATATTTCACGGGAAGACCTTTCCGCGCAGGTATTTCGAACAGAACACATCGGTCGACTGAGTCAAAGGCACCCTGAAGTCGAGAAACACAGCAATTGTCGGCGTGCGGTACGAGTGTCGCTACTTTAGCATCTTCCAGTGTGAAGATGTGGTCTATACTGCTCCGCCCTATGCAGAAGCCTACCTGCACTTTCCTAATCTGTGATTCGCATTCCGCAGTGAGACGATGAACGAGAACTGACGTTAGTAATTTGGTTTCCAGTGGAGTTAGGCTAATATCCATGTAATTAGCAGTCTGTACGATAGCCCTTCTTGCAGATTGCCAGTACAATTGATTAACACCAGTTAGATGGGATGCCCTCTGTCTTCCAGACCTGTTCGGACAGCGAGGTCCGTGCTTTGCAGAGGACCTCACCTCCATCCTTAAATAGTGCAGGTAGTAGGGAATTCGGGCCAGAAGCATAAAAACTAGTGAGAGCTGCGATTGCGTTTTGGACCTCAGCTTCCGACGGAGTTTCTAAACTAACTGGCCATTGCTCAACCTGCAACAACTGAGCAGGAAGTGGTCCAGAAGCAGGGGGACGACTGAACTGCCCTCGGAAGTGCTCCACCCAAAGATCCATAGGGAGCTCTTTATCGTGAATCAGGGCACCCGCGCTGTTTCTGATCGCCTCGCTGACGTCTGGTTTTCTAGGACCAGTGGTACGGAACAGTTGGAAGAGCTTACGATAAGTGCCTACTGCTCATGCTTCCCACGTTTCTTGAGCCCGACTGGCTCACTAGGCTTCCTTGTCAGCACGCAAGCTCTGCTTTAGTTCGCGCCTAATAGTCTGTCTGGTCACACTGTACTCAGAGCCAGCCGGGAGGTTTCTTCTGGATAAAGATAGGTTCCCCAACCTCTCGGATATCCAGTGGCTGGTGCGGTGACGATTGATAGTGTCACAAGCAGATGCTCCTGCGTCGTGCATGGCGGCCAAGATCCTATTCCACTGAAGCTCAGTGTCATTAGGACACGACAAGGAAAGTTCGATAGGCAATGCATTCTGGTAAACTTGCCTGATTGAACGCTGAGATGAATTCTCCGTTGCCAACCGAGAGGGGCCTTATAGACCTCCAGTAAAATTCCTAGAGAAAAAACAGCGTACCAAGGTATGATCAGAGTCGCCCCATATACTCAAGAAAGAGCGACAATCCAGGAAGGAACCACGCCACCTGGAACTTATGGCAATGTAATCAATTTGGGACCATTGCTGGCCAGCTACAGGAGGACGGCAAGTGACACTTCGGTGCCTCATGTGCCTAAGAAACAGCTGTAACAGACGCAGCCCGTTGTCCGTCCGTTCAGTTAAAGCCATACTTGCCACCTAGCAAAGATGTTGAAGAGCGCAGACGACCTACTTGCGCACTAATTTCCCCTGCAAGAACTATGATTTCTGAACTGGTAACACCGCGTAGTAGCGCGTTCAGTTTGTGGTAGAAAGCGTCCTTCGCAGCATCAGAGCTGCAATCGATGGGAGCATAAGCAGAAACCACCAAAACAAAGAGCGTCTGGTGTTACTCTGCGAACCAACCTTAGTCAATGTACTCAAACGGAATGCACACATACGACTGTGCATGGAAATCCAATCAACCAACGAGAACTCAGCGCTGAGGCTGAGAACAATGACCACCATTACATGACTGGTGGCTGCCGCATCAGCGTCTCCGGAGGCGTGCAACCAATAGCGAGAGCACAAACCAGGTGCAGGTAACACAACAACCCCGCGAGCGTCATTGATCCTAGTTGCGGACACACATGGTTGGCGGCATCCGGTTTCGGATTTGCCTGTCACTGTGGTCAGCCACAGGACGCCTGCGCCTACAGAGGGACCATGGATGGCTTGCGCTGCACCACCCACAGCTCCATCCACACACCCATATCCAGTGCAAACCCGAAGGAATAAGACCGGGAGGCATGCGGATGGGAACCACGTTTCATCAACGGAGCCGGCCCACACTCCTTCACAGACAAACACAAGCACGCTGTATTTGGGGAATCAAGCGCACACAAGGCGGTGGCTGGACCGTAGTCCGCTCCACACTGAGTGCATGGAACCACTCTTCGAGCCTAGCACGTCCACAAGGACCGTGCACCCCGTCCCCTCCAGCAACGACCAACTGGCTCCTGGAGCCAGTATGGACGAGGTAGTGGGTAATAGACAGGTAGGCACCTTGTCAACATGCACATCAAGCGCAGCCACACCTGGGATGTCAAACAACAGCCAATCATTCGAATTGCCGATATCGATTAAAGTAAGCGCATATGACGACATAAATACTCGCTAAATGAGCATATAGAAGAAATCCGTGATAAGTACAAAATGTCCGAAGGTTTTTTAAAAAATACCACGCGATAAAATTACGCAAGTTTACCACAATTTGCGTGAGCGAAGTGTGCAAGTAAGGAAAAGATTATCAAGTATGCAGAACAAGCCAAATAACATGTAATGAATTTTATCCACATTAAAAAGACCTAGTTTAAGTGTAAGTTGGTTTAGCCCAAGTGCGGTGAAGAAGCATCATGAATGCAACATCAATACCCAGTGTATCTAACGTGCGTGCGAATGCGACCTGTTGACCCATTGGTCTTAGAGCGCGAAAGTTGAACGCCGCCAGGGAAACGGCACAGTGTGACGTTATAAGAAGCTGCTGGCGTTTAGCGTTCAGTGGAGCGTAAAGAAACACAGTTGCAGATGGTATGACACCAGTGACATTGTGGTGGCTGTCAATTAAACTAGTAATTATAGGAAAACTGGTAGTGGGGGTTGGGAGGGGAGCAAGATAGGTGGAAAAGAAAGAAGGGAGGCGCCAGCAGCAGCATGCTTTCGCTAATGCGCCCTGCTGCATGCAGCAGATAAGGCGACCCTTGATAACTAGCGCAACGGCCGATGCAGGATATGGCTGAAGTTTGAAGAAGTAGTCATGATTGTATGTGGCTTGAGATACTGTCAGGGCACCCACACCTAGACAGGGGAACGATTAGTGTCCTCAACCAAAGCTTTTGGATCAAAAGCCTGTCCGCAAAGCAGCGGATGCGGCAATGATTCGGTTCTACAAAAATGGACGCCATCCCATTCCAAACCCCCAACCTGGAGGACCAGGAGACTGACTTCTAACCATTGACCAACCTGGTAGGAGTAGTTCTTAAGAGGCCCAAGGGTCCCACCCAGTATAGCTCACTGCGTCGATGAGGTACGCAAACCGTCACAACACGTTAAGGTCCAGACTCGTAGTGACGTGTTCTCGCAGTACCCCTGACCCCCACCCGACTAGTGATGGTCGCGTGGCAACGAAGCGTTTATACGGAGTCTCGAGGTACTGTTGATGCCTTATTTTGTTGTTTGAATACAATCGAATAAAAGCAAAACTGGAACATAAGCGGACAACCCTCTTAGGGTGGTGTCACCTTAATAGCACCATAAGTTAGCCAGATGTTTGTCAGGTTGAACACTGACAACGTTGCATTCGATAGCATAAAAACGAAGTACGGTATGGAGACGCAACAACTTACGAACTCAAGCACAGTGTTGAACAGAAATAAATTGATTGCCGAGAAGTACGAAATTCATATAAGATGGAGTTAGTGCATGAACAATGGATTTCAATGCAATAGATTGTTTCGCCGTGTTGGCAGATAGTACCGAATAAATAGGGGAAGTGACTAATTCTTTCGGATTCCAGTCGTTAATAGAAGTCCATCATACAGTTCAACTTCGCTCCAGAAAGTCCGATAGCATCTCCGAGGCGATGAGAGTTACCCGCGAGACAAGAAAACCAGAGAAGTGAGAACTAAACAACCTCCGTAAACAAAAACAAAAAACTATGGCCATCATATATCGTGCAACACCAACGCTGGTATTCATGCTGAAACCCGAATAGCAGCATGAAAAATGAAGTTTCGATACCTGCCGGTTTTGCATAAACAGCAACAGCTACGAGGAAACCAAATTAACAGTGACAATGTCCAGAAATCAAAAGGCGGTTCGAAGTAGTGTCGATACATTCGGTTACAACGTCCCATTAGCAAACTTAAGGGTACTGACATTCGAATTCCCGGTATCAAAGATGAAAAGAAACAGAGAGATGGAACTGCGATTTCTACCTGTGAAGTTCTGAAAACACCGAGCTTGTTGTGAAGATAACTTCGTTTAGTTGAAATATCCAGCGCTGGCCATTGGGCCCTGAGCTCATCTTCCAGGGACACACTATCCAATTCGGGGTGTTTACGCAACCGTGTCTCCATTTCTTCACGCAGGAACGTTGCTAGAGATTCCGTTTCCTCTTCAGTGGTGAGAGGAACACCACCCATGAGTTTCAACATTTCTTCTATAACGAGCAAGAATTAAACGGAAAACAGTTACCTTTTTCCGCATCATTCAGTTGCCGAAATTTTGTGTTAACAGAAATTCTACCAAATTTCTCGACTCGCTTCTCAGGAGGCAGATTCATGGCAGCTTCGGCTTCCTTCCAAGACTGAACCCAAATGTTACGACTGCAGGACGTGGACTTGCTGTCAAATTTTGCTCTTTCCTACCGAATGCATAAAAAGGGACACAAAGATATACCGATTTGTCTTTAGAGCTTTTATTTTTTTCTTGAACGTACTCGTCAAACTTCTTCTTTCCTTTGAATGGTATCATACTAGTTGGATGAACCCAAGCTCTTTCAACTAGTGGACCGAGAAACTGAACGTGATAAAACGCACCACGATCTATAACAAAAATGTAACCACCACATGCAACTTGCGCGTTGGACGAATATGTGACTCCCCATCCGGTGGATGATATATCATGCATGGCCACCATGGATGTGAACCAACTTTGGCCCAGAACAGTTCCCCCAGAGCAGGATGCGTCTCTGATTCCGGCATATCCTCAGTAACGGATTTTCCAGTAAGTTCCTAACGATGAAAATGTTTGAAATTTGAAGTTCAAATGAGACGAGAACAAAAAAGGAAGTTCCCAAGGTTGTTTCATGTTGAATGTGTCGCTTAGCCATGAAGAAGTTCAGTTGCATGATTGGCTGTCTAAAGCAGTCGAATTAGCATGCACGAATCAAACCGTGGTCAAAGAAATAAAGTCTATGTGTCTGCACTAGCCCTCCCAGCTGCCTCGGCTGTGTGCAGAAGGAAAAGAATTAGAGCAGAAACTAGACACCGCTTAAAAGCAACGAAAGGTTGGAAAGAAGTTAATTACAAATAGGAATGAAAATGGAAGGAGACAATGAGAAATGAGAAAGTGAAGGACGATTGGTGATCGCAGGCTGAGGGAGTTCCAACTAGTTCATCGTCAGTGGCAATATCAAGCCCTCGAGCCGCGTGCTCTAGGAGTTTTGTACCCGCGAAGAGCTGTGAACTGAAAGTGACGAAGAAAGCAATGTCGATCCCTCCCAGCCAAATGCAATCGGTGGGAAAAAAAAGCGTCACGAAGCCATTGACAGGGCACAAAAACGTCCCAACTTCAGCGGCCTGGGGGCATGACAGATGTTGCAACACAGGAACAAAATTAGTTCCAGTTCCAAAAACATGTTCTGTTGCCATACCGTTCAGTAAAGTAGAGGACAAACCTGAAAGCAGTACTCATGGAGTGGTCTGACAACCGCTGTGAATAATCTGATGAACACTTCCGTTAGGATTCCAAATGGCCTGAGGGGCACACGGGACTGTGAAATTCCTCAGGGATCCTTATCTAGTCCCCCTGGAAGTGAAGCCAGTTGAGCACGAGATAACTAAATCAACAAGTTGGGAAATGCGGTATTTCAGTCTCACCAAACGAGCAGTGTGTTAGCGAACGATTTGATTCTACGCACAAACTTGAACACTTGGTGTGGTTCAGTGGGAACAAGTCTGCCAAAAGCCGGTTGTGAAATCGGAATTATAACAGCGGTTCACTGTGTACCAAAACATTAGATAGCCAACATTAGAGTAAGTACACCACAGAAATGTTAGTAGGTCATGCATATGCACAGTGTATGTGAAAGGCTTTGCCCTTATCTGTGACAGCTCCCAAAAGTGCCAAGTAGTTATGGACAAATTAGCACTGGTTCTCAATCGCTTTGGGTTTCGTTTTGCTCCTTTGAAATGCAAAGTCCTTCTCCAAGATTGGCAGGGACCCACTCCTGCGCTGGCAGTGGTCAGTCAGAAGTCGTTCAGCAATCCAACTACCTGGGCAGCTATATTAGCGCTCGTGGAATCGAAGATGAAGTTACGAACCGTATGGTAAAAGTACGACGTGCATTTTTTGTTTACGCTCGACCACTAGTGCCTTTGCAGTTTGGCTCATATCTGGTGGGAACACCGCGTGAGCAACGAGCGTGTTCGACGCCTTGTTTATGGCGCATGAAGAAGAAGCGAACCGCTCAGCACCATCATATCACGCACCAAGATCCGGTGGCTAGGCCACGAGTTGCGTATGCCAGCACACTGACTCCCGCGACGTGCGTTGTTTGCGCGCCGGGGATGCAGATGGAAGAAGAGGAGGGGTGGTCAAGCGATAACTTAGTCAAGAGGACTGAAGGCCATTACTTCAAAGTTGGCCTCGGCTCCCTCGTTGGGGACCGAAGGACAATGAACATGTTTATTTAAACACACACGTTGACATGTACAAGAGCAGATCTAAACGGCGTTCGTGTTGCGAGTCTTTTTGTCCATCCCCCGCCCCTTTAGCTTCCTCCTCCAATTGCAACCTCATGCAAAATGCATAACATAACATTTAAAATTACAGCACTTGCTTTTTGAATGTTTGTAGCGTAAATGTTCAGTATCTTATCTTTTTGTATTGCGACACATTAGCTGAGGTGTGTTTCTCACCATCAAGTAAAATGTATTGATATACACAGTGAGGAATGGTGGAATTAGGGTTAGCCTCTGTGGAACGAGTGTGGAATAAGTGGAAACATGGCTGAGCCAATTCATATGTTTTGTGTGTTGTTAGGTCGGGATCGGTGGAACGCCACTCAAAATCGGCTATCAGAAAAAAGCAAAAAACAAACTCAGACGCTTCCGTTTATGAGAGAAGCAAATGTTGGTAGATTGCTAGTCGAACTGTTCGCTGAGTCAGGAAATTTGTTGCAAACAATTTGTCATCAACAGGGGTGACATTATCAGTGCGTCAGTGCGATTGCCAAGCTCAGCGAACAGTTCGATTAACTTGACGTTATTTAATAGTGTTAAAGAGACAACGTTTCCAAGTAACCTAGTTATCCATGCCGGAGATATAAGACAAGACCAAATTTGGTGTGCGTCAAGTCCGGTGTTTCGAATCCTTCCCTATCTACTAAGTACAATACACAACAGGCCTGCGAAAGTTGATGATGTAGCTGATTTCTTTGAGTGACTCGTTTTTCGAAACCTATTTATGAGAGAATAAACAATTCGCAATGCCTTTTCGTTGGCGCCATTTTCTTCGCTCCAAAAACTGTTTCCCTTTCGCTTCCTGTTGATTTATTCGCTGTGAAACACCACGCTACTAGTCGTTCTCTTTTCCTTTTCAGCCGGTGCACTTTTGAACTCTCCCCGATCTTCCCAGCTGGGCGGCTGACTGTCCTTCATATTCCCGCATTAAATCCCCTGCTTGAAAGTCTGATATCATGCTTTGGGTCTTTGGAACTAGTGCAAAGCGTATCAACCGAACAATCATCCGTAGCAAGTTCCAATCCTTAAGAGAATTGCACCGCAAAACAAGCGCCTCTAAGGTAGTTACACGCTCATATCAAAGCCACCAAGGGTCTGAAGAATGGACACAGCGAGGAAAGCACAGAAGAGGTCAAGTAGGTTCTAAAGACGGTTTAGGCTTCCATCTAATTAGTGTCCAGTTTCTTGCACAAGTGAGAAAATCAGCGCCTCGGTACTTCGCGGCGTCTGATCGGCATCTCTTACTTCTGTAAAAAAAAAGTGAAGTGAAAACGAAAGCAAGCTGTTTTATCGTGTATCATGTGTCACGGAAAATCAGCGACGGGTTTTAGTAAAGTTACAGTAATTCTGGAAAAAGATCCAGTCAACAACCATCTGGTTCTCTTTTCAAGGCCTCTGCAGTATTACACTCCACTAGGACAGGAGAAGCTTATTCCAACTGCGAACTATACGGTGCACAAAAATTCCGCATTGAAATCTTGCTTGGGCTTAAGTTTATGTCCCCGCACGTGGTCTGAGGTAGCTAGTACACACATTAGCGGGTTTGACACCACCGAGGACCCTCAGAAGTTTGGACAACTTCATCAAGTCTACAATTCTGCGTCGTTCCATGGAGAACAATAACAGGATCCTTAGGTGTACGTCATATAGCTTTTCACGATTACCTGCCATCATCCCAGTCGTCCGCTTTTGTGCCTTTTCTATACAAGCAATACACTTCCGGAGATAAGGCATCCAAGCTTACACAGCATCCTGAGGTTGTAACATCGTTTTATATAAGAAAGAGAAATAAGATTTAGTGCCGCATAAAGCTCTTAAAACGCGATAGCTCCTATCGTGTCCTGTGGGTAGGATGCTGGCACTGCGCTGAAGCTTCCAAGTTATTCGTCAAAATGACGCCCAGTTCACACGCTTTATCAGCAAACCGCAACGTCGGCGATCCAGCAAAGTATATCCAGTAATCCTATTCCTAATGTAAGTCATCATCGGAGAAAGAATGACGTGAAGAGGCAAATCACATTTCATTGCATTTCGCTACTATGCAAATATTCAGATAGCCGTAGCTCGAATAATCCTTCTGATGAATACTGAATACCGAAGATAGAGATTTAGAAGATATACATCCGTGTTGATCCGTCGATATATTTTTGAGCACGCAGGCGGAGTAATGTCAGTTATTACCGGGCACTGTTAACGCAGTTCGGTTGTGTGACATCCTATGCAGGTGCGGCAAGCTCTCAAAATCCGTAATCCACAATGTGGGCGTACAGGAATTTCCTGAATTCCGACACTAACCACGTCTGGAACAAACCGTTCTAACCTTCCACTACTTGACGCTCGAAACAGAGATGAGCTATTCGTTTCAGGCCCGGTACCTCAAGCTTGTACCAGTGCCCGCGAGTGCTTCAGATTAGCAGTAAAGATATAGAAGATCTTCGATAAGATGAGCTGTCATTTAAAAGCATGAGAAGCAGCGGAAGACATAGAGCAGAACTCAGGAGGAAGACCACTGTCGACGGCGCTTATTCTTGAACTGACGTTATTAACACCAATACGAAAGGTCCTCCAACAGAAAATACTGCTACCCAAGTTAAAAGCTGAGGATGCACACCCAAAAAACAGGTCAGGTTCTCTGGTTGGAAACAATGGTTTGCCGAATCAGAAGTCTGACAGATAGTAAACCCCTGTGCGTTCCGTCGGAGCATATTTTCTTCACAGAACAGAGTAGACGAAAGCGAAAAAATAACAACAGTATTTAGATAGTCGTAAAGTGGTAACCATTCGCCTGAAAGCTTGCAGTGGACGATCTGCGAGAATTGGCTGCATATTGCCTGCTGGAAGATCGAAGCCGACTTACTTGAATTGTGTAAAAGGACTTCCTCGTCGGTTGTCTGATTCATATGTGGTCCGTGCCAGGCCGCTGAGGATAACCACCTCTGTAGCTGTTCAACAGCTCAGTTCAGTGTCCATAACAGGGAACTAATGCAAGACCCCCTCCCGCCCTTTAGTGCGTCCACATGGCGACTCCGAAGGTTATTCGTAGCCGAGATGCATCTGTTTCACCGTCGGAGACTGTTAACTAGTGAATTCAACATTCAAGAGAAAAGGTATGCTATCGTTTAACGCCAATATGCGACGCTAGGGAAAGCTAGTCTGGATACAGCTGTGCGGTGA